ATAATTGTTGTGCATGTTCCAAGAGCCAATAAGCATAAATCCCAAGGTTACAAGAAGACAAAGTCCTCTCGCTCACCGGATTCCCTTTTTCTGGTGACCTCCTAAATTAGGAAATGACGCAAATGAAGAATAGAACATACCAAACTTGATGCGAAATGACTGTGACAGTCTCCTCTTTCATATGCAAGCAACATAAAGACTTAGAGCTTCACATCTTGAATGACATTAGCGACCAAAGTTCACGAATCTAACCGGACTTCCACCCCGTGGGAAAATGCTGCATCAACACGATTAAATAGCATCAAAACGCTCATCGAACAAGCACTGAGGATATAATGGCAAATCTACTAAACCATCGCGATAAGTTCACGGAAAAGATTTTAAGATCTGGCAATGGCGGAAGGACCCTTAGGCAGGGATGGTTCCATCATTAGCACAAAATGTTTTATGGGTGTTTTGGTCATTGTACCTAATTTCAGGATTTTATTTTATTTTTTTAATTGTAATTAAGCTTAGTTTTTGAGTATTCACCCCTCTTTGGTGAATTATCTATATAAACAAGCTTAAATCATTTGTAAAAGGGCTGATTATTGGGGATTATTGATCGCTAAAACAGAGGCATAAAACTTGTTTTCACTCATTTTTTGCTTCTGAACCCTTAATCCCGTCGAGAGGAGAGATAAAACTTTAAGAGAGAAAAAACACCTCTGAGTGTGCGGTCTCATTTCTTCCCGGAGAAAGAAAACATATCTGAGTGCATGGACCCATTCCCTTTCTCTCCTAAGCTGGGTCACATCCCAAGCCCTCTCTCTCTCTCCTCCTCTACACGCCGTCTACCCCAGGCAGTAGCTTGTGTCTGCAACAAACACACGGTTTGGAGTGAACCCACAAGTCCTAATCCTCGGGTTCTCTCACACCCTTCCACCAGCTAGTCAACCTCTCCGGGGGAATCGTCGTAGGGAGGGATAATCGAGCTCCGTTGCAGTTGCAAGCAACAAGAGAGTGAAGATATCTTTTGAAAACCTGAAGAGAGACCTTGTCCAAACCGCGCTAGCAGACAACCGGAGGGCTTCGTGATTGTTCTAAGAGGGCGAACTGCCCGGGTGTGTCCTACAAACCCCAAACGGCGAGGCAAATGTTCAAACGCATCCCCGTCATAAAAATCTCTCTTGTTGTTGGTTCCTTCCACGCTTAGGAGAGCGTGCATGTGCACCAGCAGGTATGCACGGATCCCCATAGTTGTTTGAGAGAGGGTTTTCTCCCCCATGCGTATGCGCCCCATTCGCGCGAGGACCAAAGTGAAAACCATGCCCCTGACTAATTACCTAAACCAGGCTTAATATACCCCATACTGAGTCTCCTCCTTAAGATGGTGCCTGGGATCTATGATCGGTATCTTGATTCTCTTTCATATGACAAAACCCTCTCAAAAGCATATGGATCTCGATCTAAAATCGACTACCAAAGGCCTTAATGCCTTAGTCTTGCTCAAGCCTTTTTGGCTTGATATTTGGAGAGATGAGAGATAAATCAAAGAGAGAGAGAGAGATCTACTAGCAAGGTGATTATCCCTTTTGCTACTCAAAAATCAAACTACACAAGCTAACCTTAGCTTGGGCGAGCCACTTAGAAACGAGAGAGACAGAGAGATGTCTTGGTCGTGCCCTTTTGGCTTGAGAGAGATTTTGGTTAAGGTGTGCCCCTTTTAGAAAAACTTGGGAGAGATCTTGAAGCCCTAAGTAGGGCATGCCGCTTATAAAGAGATATTTGAGAGAGAGAGATAAACCCTTAAAGAGAGAAGATAAAATAGGTGTAGAGATTTTATGAGGTGGGAGATCATCTTTTAGAGATTTTTTATGCCTTGAGGTTTGCCTTAATTCATAGAATCAAATCTTTACCTTCGATCTAAGGAGACTTGTGGGGTGAGGATTTGACCTATCAATCTCTTTGATCAACTATCAAGATTCAAAGAGATGAGTAAGAGCCTTATGCTCCTTTCCTAAATCTATTCCCATCAAATCTTTAAATAAAGAAAATATATATCTTATTATCTATTTTAGTATATCCAATCTTTATTTCTTGGATTAAGCAATCTTGATTCAAATATTTACTAAATATTTTAAATATTCAACCTTATTATGTAAGTTGGCTATACCCAAAAGATAAGCCAACAAATAAAAGGATAACTATCACCCAATCTTAGAGAATAAGTTAGTCCCTATGGGTGGGGCGTACCATGCTTTGGTTGCCACATATGGGTCCCACCCCAATCCCACATGTTCTAAATTGAGCCCCCATATTTATGGAGGGTCCCATATAATTTTAGAAAATATTTTATTTTGTATTTAAAATTTTTAAATCTTATATTTTATTTAAAACATTGAAAAATTAATTTCTCTTAATTTATAAATCTAAATAACAAAAATAAAATATAAGAACATTCACAAAAATTCAAATAAACATTCTAAAAAATCATATATCATAAAATTAATTAAAACTGATTAATTTTGATGGGAATCAAATCCGTTAGATTTAGGAATTTCTCAATATATGGGAGCACTCCACCTTCAACTGCAGACCACGATCTACCTAGTTTTCTCAAACTAACTTAGTAGTTCCCATGACCCATAATCTACTGCAGGGGTTCTTGATTTGACCATCAAAGTCAGCCAATAGACTAGGGGTCGCAATCTCAGTTTATGGATTTCAGGTTCTCTCTTAGAGATAAAAAAAATCATGGTCCTCCAGACCATAATGCAATCATGACTTTAGGTGCATAGATGTAATCTCTCACACATGTACAAGCTTCACCTCATTGGCAAATATCAAAACGACTATCTATGTATATGTCGTATGATGATATAACAATGAGGTTTTAACCCTGCCTCTAAAGGCTATTCCTCATACATAAGGGTCACATAATCACTCGGCTCTCATCTGGCAATACTCCGATCTCATCAAGAGCTAAACCACTAAACCCTTATTGGTAGATCTTTATGTTCAGGTATCTTGAGTTTTTCTAAACTCGATTGGCCTAGTACGTCGAGCCTAGTCTAAGTATCGACAAATCGCATTTGCCTAGTATGGTTCACAAGAGGACCACACTCCCACTGAGTTTATGTTTCACTATTTAAAATGCTCATACAAGCTCTCATAAGGCCTTTAAAAGCCATATAAACCTAAGATCTCCCACTTAGTCTTTGAAGGCCTTACAATATCTCTTTATCAGATTCTCATCTCCCTAATTACAATATCTCTCTCAAGCATTTTTCACTTATTCTCTCTTATTACATTAATCATGACTTTTGCCGTCAATCCTTTCACAAAGGATTTATAGAGGCAGCACCTCTTTCTCTTTAATGCTCGGATCTCATTCCAAACGTGGTTGTAATCCATCTTTTATGTCTTATAGCGAATCATGGACCTGTTGTCACAGAAGATCTTCATGTACCCTCGTCACATGTGGTCGTATCTTCATTGGCTTAAAGCAGTTATTCAATTAAGCTGTTCCCTTTTGTAGCCATACAACTAGTACCACACATTCGGGTTCCATGGGTGAACAACGATATGTCGTTCCAGCTGGCCCATCAAACATAAGCTGGTGCTCCCACTGAAATATTAAGTTTATCTAGATTTCTTTATAACATGATACCTATATAACTGAATATCCAAGCAGCTAAAAATAACCATAGGATTGTTAATAACTCTCACTCAAACATAACATATAAGAAATATCATCTCAGCATTCTCATAGTTGTGTCATGAAATAGTATAACAAGTCTCATACTAAACAATAACTCAATACCCATTTCGTTTCGTAAAACCATTTTTCAAACCACAAAGGTTAAAACACACCAGTTTCTTGGTTGTAAACCCATACAAACCAAGTTGTCTAATCCACACAGCACGTATCAAGGAGACCTAACAAGATGATATTTCTACAATATTCCCTATGGTTTAAGGTCTTAGGTAATCGATGATTCTAAATAACTAGAAACACGTGTTAAAACATATAGGTATTTAAAAACCAGTGCATGATAATTTTTTTCTCACTTTTATAAGTACCTTAAAAAATATCGAGAGAAAAACGGATTTCAAGTCCTAAAAATAGTTAATCTTGCAACAAGTAAAGGTGATCACTCATCTAAATTGGGAGATGAAACGACGTTATACCAAAATAGTTAAAGTTTGGGATTTACTTGAAGTAAGTAGCTCCTCCAATATATTAGGCAATCCGATAACTCTACTTCCCTCTCCTGTCCATTTCAGGGGCATGTTGGATTAAGTTAGAAGCCCACGCTTTATCCTTTTACTGTTTTGTTAAGGGAAGTTGTTGCATGGGTTACCCTCGATGTAAATTTGACGGGAAAAATTTAAAGTGGTTATAACCCCTGCAATGGGTATAACAAAGGTTTTAGAAAACAACAATTTGTATCAGAGTACGAAAAATCGGGCAGTTCAATTTTTAGCTGTCCGCTTAGTTCCGGTTAGTTCAAAACCGGTTGGTTTGGGTTTCAGCTTGTTTTGGTTAACCAACCAGGTATTTTATTTTATTTTTCAAAAAGTATATAAAATTTCAAAAAATAAAAGATTTTGTTTGTAATGTATTTTTTGAATGTTTTTCATCGTTTTGACAAAGATTGAAATTTGTTTTAGCCATTAATACTTTTTGAAAAATTTCTCAAATATCCTTAGGTACAAATATTCTTTATAATCTATTTTTTCCATAATTTTTAGTTTCATTTAGATATGATTTGTTTAATCATGTTTTAAATATATTTTTCATATTTTATTAGATTTTTTTAGTATTTTTTATATTTTTTTAACACTTTTTTGACTGCTCGAAATTTACCCGATTGAGTACGTTGAACCGCTTTCAAGCCTCTGTCCGGTTAACCGTTTTGGTTTGATTTTTCCTATATTGATAAGAATCACCTGATCTAGATCGTATTTCAATTAGTTCCCACCAGATATTAGGAATCGGCTATGAATCGCTCCGTTCCAGCCAGGGCACCAAAAGAAAGAGAATCAGCCAAAAGCATCCCCACTTTATATTTTTAATATGTTAGAAAATTTATTCTCTTTCTTTATTTTCCATTTGCCGATTTGCTGGGCCGGATTGTCACCACCGACCACCCAATCCTGACCAATTTTTTGGACTGGGTTTCAAGTCGACGGTCCGTGCTTTTAAACCTTGGTTGGAACAGACTCTTCCTTTCCTCCGTCACTACTCCGCCACGCCTTCCCGCTCTCTCTCTCTCTCTTTCGCCGCGCCCGCCTCTCCAGGTACAAAATCTTCCCCACGCCCTCCTGCTCTCTCTTACAGCACAGTTCATTGCTGAAAACCCTAAGCTAATGACCTGCCATTCAAAACCGATGGTTTCTCACGTTATTGTAAAGAAATAGGTTGTCACGTTGAAGAAATTGTGTAACTCATTGTGAGTAGTGATCAATTGCCGAGTTGTTCTGTCTCTATTAATTTTTTATAGAATGTGCAAATTGCTTGATCCAAAGCAGATCTTTCGAATACAGTGAATTTGCCTAGTGTAGATAAATGAAATTCTTTGTGAGAATCAAATGGAGTTTAGTGCTTGAATTTGTTTTAATTCAAATTAGTTTATTAGTGCACATCACTTTTAACATCCTTGCTTATGAAATGCTCTGAATTTGTAATTTTGCATATGTTCCTGTTATGATATTCGTTAGTGTCAGACTACATACTTGCAGTGGTTCGTTAGAAATTAGAACTTATCTTGCTTCTACTTGATCATAGATTGACTTTAGAGGAAATGTATTTTCAATAGGTGGAGAAATTCATTTTCCACTGTAATGTAGGCTTTAGTCTTTGAAATTCATTTTTCACTGTATTTCATCTTTCACTTCTCTCAAGTAAAATTTTATATCCCTCTCTATATTTATGATCTCTTCTTATTATTTCTCTTGGGGATCCTTTTATAGATATAGTTCTTATTTTGTCTCTAAAAATTTGTGGCTCTGTTTTTCTTTTTCTTTTTTGGCTTTGGTTTGGCATAGTTCTGGACCATAGTTTCAAGTGTTCTTCAGTGAGTGTAAGTTATTTGTTTCTCTCTCTAATAGTATATCCCTCTAGTATGTCAATAGAAGTACAAGTTTATATGGGGAATTTCTTTTGCTTTTGTTTCTTGGGTAAAATATCATTTTTGCTTTTGCGTTTGGTTATCCTTTAAATTTTTTTTTTTTGCATTTGCAGCCTGTGTGTCTGCTATATTTTCCATTTTTTGGTTGTTTTTTTATTTTCTCTCTTTTTGTTGGTGCACAGGTTTTATTTTACTTTGCTGTTTTATTTTGTCCTCCCACTTTAATATGCAGGAAGGAATTTAGATTGGATTTACCAAAAGCATGTTTATTTTGGTGATTTAATCATGGGTGGCCTAAATGTTCAATATGCATTGCACTTTTAATTTGTTCACTTGGGTTGCATAGTTGGTTGTTTCTTATTGATATTGCACCATCTCTTTTGTATGGAACATCTACCTTTGTTTTTGTTATTTGTTATTGATTTCTTTTCTAATATTTTGTTTTAAAGGGTATTTTATTGGGTGTGTGTTGAGACACATATTTTACATGTCTTTTTATGGTCAGGATGTTGTTCAGAAATTGGGATGTGTACGTGAATCGGGTTTAGTTTTAATTCAAAGTTACTTATTTTTCATGATTTAAGCAACATCAAGATTGTCTGGCTTCAATTAGCTGCAAAAAGAAGATTCTTTAGCTATATTTTTGTGTTTTTAAGTTGGAGATCTATTTTTTAGTGGTACGCATGGCATATGTTTGTCCTCTATCTCTCTCTCGTTAATATTTCATGAGGCATTACTCGTGGTAACCTTTAGATATGGATATATACTTATGTTTTCTGGTGCACTGGTGGGACTGCAATGTCAATTTATTGTTCGGTGTCTTCCACTCTTAAATTACATGGAGATAAGAATATATTTCAATCTGAATGATTCATTTTATAAGAAATACATTAGATTGGTAGTAGACAAAAAAATATTATTCAAATTATGCATTTCACGCATCAAATCCATAAATTGCATAATAAACGATTAAAATAGTTAGTTTCCAGCTTTCCTGATACCAAACATTTAAAAATACACTACAAGTTATCAAATAGGGGCTTTCCCGATACCAAACATTTGAAAATACACCAAAAGTTATTAAACAGGGTTCCCAACTTTCCAGCTACCAATTCTCACCCCAAATTCTAAAATCCTTAGCAATTTGAATTTTTCTGTAAAGAAAGTTATCAAACACGACCTTATTTCCCTGATTTCTCTCTCTTTCCCTTTCTCATCTCACAGAAGCAAATCGTAGCCCGAATCCCTCTCTCTGTAACCCATTGTCTCTCTCTCTCTAATCCACTGGTACACCCCCCACCCCCCCTTCTCTCTTTCCAAGTCCAAGGTCCCATTTTTTGTCACGAAATATTTCTTTGTTCACAGATCGAGCCCCTCTTCTTTCTTTAAGCTTTTGATCTCATTTTCTGGTATTTTTAAAAAAGTTTTCTCCATGCCTCTTGATGAAAAAAATGAGAAATCTGATATTTTTCAGAAAAATGTGCTAACTAATTTTGTCAGTGAATTAGAAAATAAGTGAATCAGTAAATCTGCAGCTATTCACTATTTTCCTGATATTTATCAATAAATCAGTGAATTCGTCAATCTTTTTATATTGATCAGTTACTTAGAAAAGAGAGTGAAATCTGCAGCTATTTACTGGGGCATTTATCAGTATTTACGTAAATTTGTCAATGTTTTTCTATTGATCAGGTATCCATAAAAATATAATAAATCAATAAATCTACTAATATTTACTACATTTTTCTAATAGCAACTATTAAATCAGTTAATTTGTCAATATTTTGATATTTATCAGTTAATCTGGAAAAATGTGATATATCAGTGATTTTGTTGATACCGATTTTTGATATTTGTAAGTAAATTAGAAAATTGATCAAAGTTTTTGACATTTATATGTTAATAAAAAATACAATAAATAACTCAGTAAAATCATAATTTTTTTAATATCGATCAGTTAATCAAAAACATAAAATAAATCATTAATACGTCTTTAATTCTAAAAAATAAATCATCAATAAGTGTGCCAATATTTACTATTTTCTGATTTTTACCAGTAAATTGGTAAAATTGTCAAATTTTGATAGTTATGTGAAAGTAATTTTTAGCATGAAATCCTCATGTTGACAATGTTTTGGTTCCATTATTTTGTAATGACAATGTTTTGGTTTGCCAGCATATGATCTGAGCTGTCTATTTTGTACGCAATTTCATGGATGGACAATTATTAGAAGATCTCACTGAAATGATAAACTTCATCTTATAATCAATTAGTTATGCAGTTAACTGTTAAAACAATGGTTTCCAGATTTATAGGTTAGCAAAAAGGGGAAATAGCCAGCATTAGACTTCCTTTGTTTCCCAAGACATGTTGCCAAACAAGGGTTTGAGTTTTCAGTTCACTAGTTTCTACTTTTGTCTTTTTCTCAGGCTTCTAGTTTCAGTGCCGAATAGGACCAAAATTGGTATTGATTTTGAAATCTTGTAAGCATCAAAGAGGAACATAGTGACAGCAATGTCATCCTCTCTCTACGTCCCTGCTGATGAGACTGTCGTGCTGCACGTCACTCATTCGAACCTCAAGAGCTTCTCCACTGACATGCGCTTCCCTCTGCAGGTACTTCCCCTTATTTCTCTCTCAAGGTTTGGGCATCTTACTTGCATTGTTGTCCCATGCTTTGTTTTCCGAAGTTTTATTCCTTTGTTCTTCGTTTCCATTTTTTGTTCATAAAGTACTTGATATCACGAATGGTACTTTATTTATTATCGCTTTATTAATAATAGTGGTAAATGCATAAAAAAACAAAAAAAAGAATTACAAAGTTTTATAAGTCTTTAGCATATCTGAGCATCTCTCACTAAGAGATCAAACTCGGGTAGTTTAGGCCTTTTTGCTTTGTGAATTGGTGGATATTACTTCAATATTTCTTTAAAACTTCTTAAATTGATTGTGAGGAATTTCAACAAAAAATGTAGATCTGGAAGTTACCATTTTCTGAATTTGATGGTGTTGGGGTGTTCGTTGAATTTTCCAACAGTTCAGGTGTCATCTTAGATTATTATTGTAATTATTATAATTTTCCAGTTTTAGGGTAGAATTATGTAACACAGTCCCAATAGATGGCTGGTTCGGGCCAACTCTTGAGCCATTGTCAAACTCAGTGGTGGAAATAATGTGTCTTTATGGGCCATTGCTGCATGAATAGTGGCTCCAATTTATTGATTGTGCTTTTGACAAGTGAAAAGCATGAGATGCTGCTAGTAATAAGACTGGAAACCAAGCTGATCGACAGGTTATTCCTCTAAGTGAAACCCTATAATTCTCACTAGTTTTCAAAGTTCTTTTATGATGTTATAGGCTTTAGTTTCCAAAGCTGGAAATAAATGATGCCCATGCCCAACCAGTGTTTTAAAATGTAGTTGCATAGCTTTATGCGGTCGCATCAGACGCTATGCGACTTGAAGCACATCGCCTCAGGCCCCATATGCGCGTTTTACGGATGTGCCGGCATATGCAGTGCATCCCAGTGCATATGAAGGCACTTTATACGTCGCATACACTGCCCAGGCTCGTGGGCGAAAATAATGCATCATAAGAAACAGTAAAAGAAAGAAAATTGGATAATTTGTTTTTGTTCAAAATCGTCGGATTACTTGGGATCTTGGTTGGGTTTTGATTTGGGATCTGCTTGGGCGATGATTTGAAGAAGTTTCGGCGTAGATTTGTCAACACATCGAGGGTTTCAAGGGCCGTGAAGATATCAAAATTGTTTTTAATTAATCAATAAGTTTCCATTTCCTAATACTTTTTTTTGAGGCAATGTCTTCACAATCTTCGCGTAACAAGGATACGGCTTGGAAGTATGCAAAACTCCAAAATCCAAAATAGAAAAATTGTGTTATTAGGACTCTTTGTGGAAATACTTATTTGGGGGGGTGTTTTTGGAGTCCGCCAAGGAAGATGAGGTATATTTGGAGGCCGCGAGGATGATATTGATGATAATGATGCCTCTGTATCCTCGCACTCTGATGTTGGAGATGCACATGCACATAGAGACTCCCTAGATGACTTGTCTGATTGAGATTTGGGAGTAAAACTTGACAGTTGAGTGCTGATAAGATTATCTTTTGATTTCTATTCTCTTTTATGTTTTGTCTTGGCTGTTGAACTCTTCATATACATTTAATGGTTGTATGTATCTTTCGAGTTTGCAACTTTAAAGTTTGCAGTTGCAATTATGGTTTTTGGATATTTATGATAATATGATGTCTTCTAGTGTCTTGCATAAAGTTACTTTCAAGTTTCTAGTTCTACTTTCTAATGTCTGCTATTAGGGAATTCAGAGTGGCAGCTCATAATACTACAGTTAATAAATAAATTAAATACCAACTATCACATAAATCACCTCTATATTTTTTCTATGCATTAACATTTTCGAGATTTTTTATATTTATTGACCGCATTGGGGTGATGCGCCCACAGCTGGACTGCATCGAGCAGCATTGCCGCATCGTCCCCCTAACTGCATTGGGTCTCTATCCCACATTTTAAATCCTGTGCGCAACATGTAGAAGAATTGAGAAACTTATTCGAGATCATACCAATTTTATGTGTTTGACATGAGTTGTTTTTCCTATATGACAAAAAAGGATAAAAGTAAGCTTTTTTCTTGACTTGTGGGTTTGTAATGCAATTTGGTATAAAATTAAGAGGAATTGGTTGCTTTTGATTGGATTTGATGCCCATGTGTTGGCATCTTTGAAGTGGATCGTCAACTTTACTACCCAAGTTCAGCGCGTGGGTTTTGGCAATGATGCAATGCCAAACAATTATCTGCGTTTCGCATTATGAATAGGCAAACCAGGGAAAGCTCAAGGGATGTCATTTGTAGAAAAATCAAACAATGGCTGGATCACTTCTAATAAGGGCACTCGCTCTTTTTTTTCTTTTTTGTTTTTTCTTTTCTCTCGTATTTGAGGCCACTCTCTCTAACATCTTTATATTCCACTTTGCCATCTTCCACATGCCTATGTCTACAGTTAGGAAGCTGGAGCTTCTCATGCGTGACTTCTTATGGAGCATTATCGGAGGAGTCCAAAAATTCCATTTTGTTAGAAAGAAACTGTTCTTAAGCCTAGACATTCAAGTGGGGATGCATTAGTGGAATTCACCAAGAATTCTCAAACCAGATTTGCTTTGAAGCTAAAAGTAGCGATTGCATCATGTTTTGGAGAAATCTATGGTTTGACCGACACACCCTCAAACTGGCCTTTCCAAGTTTGTTCATTATAGTTTTGGATAAGGAGTTCATGATTTCGCAGTCAATTGAAGTGTTAGGTTGGCTAACAGTATGGATACTCCTATTTCAGAGAAGCGTTAATAGCATTGAGTCTCCAGACTTGATATCTATGCTAGACCTCCGCAAATACCAATTTATTCCTTGATCTGACTACTACAAATTTTTTCGTGCCCTTCCCCAACAAGTAGTTTTTCAGTGTCATCTTTCTACAAAGCATTCACCTTATAATGAAAGCTTGTTACTGATAGCCAGGCATCATTCACCCCTGTACCTCCTAGAATTTCGGTTTGCAACTGGTTAATAGTATCTAATAAGGCTTTGACTTTAGACTATGTCCATAGTAGGGGTATATTGTTACCTAAGAGATGTAGAATGTTCTAGAAACAAGAAGATACCATGAACCACATGTTCATCCATTGCAAGATGGCCTTCCAAGTCTGGTCTTTCATACTTGTCTTGTCTGACTGGCTATGGGTCATCCCTGTCATCTTTCGGACACTTGTTTGGATCATAGTTACTAGGTTCCAATTCCCCACTGGAATCCTGATCCTACGCTCCCCCGCGATCTTATATTTTGGAAACTCGATACTTCCTATTAGATATCTAGTGCTTGAGATACACATGATCCAGATTCCCTAACGTTGTGGCGTAGTATAATACTGTAACATAGTATAGTACAACAGTGTGGCGTAGTATAGCATTATAGTATATTCTAGTAGTATGGTGTAGTAGTATATGCTATATAGTTAGAATTATATACATGGGTTTCAATATGGTAGCATATGGATTATAGTGCAGAAGAATAGAGTATATGACATAATATTGTAGTATAATATAGCAGTATGATATCGTATAACAGTGTGGTTTACTATACTACTATTCTAGTTGAGTGTTCTTAGGGGTCTCGATTTCTAATGAAATGGAGCTTGATCTTGAATTATTTATCATTCTATCCTGATTAAGTTTGATCGAGTTCCCTACATATTGGGATTGAGATCCCTAGATTTCAAGATGTAGCCGCGCCCTACCATAGTGAGCTTTCTGCTTGTTATGATCCCACGGTCCCAATCCTGATCCAAGGTGTGATTCTATCCTGATCCTGGTAACTATGGTTTCATTCTTACATTTCACCCCCTTTTCCTGCCTCGGGATTTTTCTTTGGTGCTCATCCATAATAACTACAAGTTGGCCATTTGGCTATTGTGGAAGGGGAGCATTTTTTATGGCACCGAAGCCATATGAGCCCTCTCAAGGATCACATCAGGACGACAATCATTTTTGGGCGGTTGCCTTAAGAGTTCAAGGTACATTCGACCTTGCTAATTAGTGGATACACATCATATGATCAATACTGCACACAGTCTGAAGATCTTTGGAATGGTTACCACTTGAACGGGGAGTGATTAAGCTAAATTTTGATGGTAATTACCATTGAAAATCTGTGCTCTGCTTGAATGCATGAGATTCTACCCACCTTTTTTGGTCCAATGGGGATAACAGAGACAACACACATGGAGACACAAGCATTGCTGGTTGATACAGGTGTTCAATAGAAGTTGGGATTTGGTCCTACTGGTAGATGGTGACTCATAAAATATTATCAGTTGGGCCCCATGGACTACCTCTTCTCCTTGGAGGTTGTAAAACATGCTTGACTAAAATTTCAATGTCATTTGATCAATGTTCTAAAAAACTGTCCGCCCGGCCCGTAGGTGCCCAAGACACTTTTTGCTGCATGCCTAGACCTAGGCGTCCCATTCTAGGTGCTGTACCTATGCGGGTGCCCAAATGGGATAGGCGAACGTCTAGTGCCCAGTTCTTGGCTGGTGTCCAGGGACGTGGGCCTTTTTTTCAATTTTTGAAGATGCCCAAAAGGGCAAAAGGGGTAATTTTGACCCCCAGAAAGGTTTAAATAGGTTATGGGGGTTATTTTCAACCCCCAAAGTTGAAAGAACACTTCCATAAGTCCTCAATCTCTTAGCTACACCTATTTCTAACAATCAAAAATATTGTTCGTGTTATGAAGAAGCTTCCTAAACTTTTATTTTCTCATTGAAATTATTTTTTCATATGGAGAGTTGAAGACTATTACTAATACATACCCTATTAGACTTCTAAATTCTTTTAAATTTTGTATGGTTTGAATTTTGAAATTTTTAACTAGTTTATTCTCAACATGCGATATGTCATATGTTTGTATATAAAAAAATATGTCGCTATATTTTCAAATGCAATAAATTACAAAATTGATACAAATATATCCATTTATGTGCATTTTGACAACACACATGTATATATCTAAAGAATTTGTACTACAGGGCACTTGAGGTTCTGGGCTCCCACCTAGGCTCTGAGAGCCATGCAGGCCCCTGAGGGGCCACCTAGTGTTTTTTGTAAACCTTGCTTTTAATCTCTACAAGTGTTTGTTAGACAATCGTGGGGGGAGGCAAATGCCATTGCTGACTTCCTTGCGAAAGATATCTTGATATCTGTTATCCTCGTCAATCGACAATATGCATCAATGCCTTCTGAAGGAGCAAAATGTTCTTTCACTCTTTTTTGTACAAATAGACATACCTCCCAGAAATTTGTCTTCTTTTCATTCACATAGGCCAAACTATGCAATGTTAAATTATTAATAGGAGTTGTGCATAGTGGAAAAAAAAATACCACCCAAATGAATAGATCAAAAAAAAAAAAAAGAAAAAGGAAAAAGGAAAAAGTTCTAGTGGGGGTGGAAGGTGGAGAGACAGTGGAGACGGGTATGCAAAATGTGCATAAATTTGAATGAAATATGAAAGAGCCTGTAAACTAATCCGACTTATGGGCTTAGTAAAACTTGTATTCGTTGATGTTTGGTAAGGTTCTAGAAACATATGAGAGAAATGTTGATGAATTCAGAGATGTGAGGGATACAAGTGGTTTAGTTGAAGCTGGAGATGTCTGCAACTCTTGCGCTTGGTCTAATACTTCAAATAAAATAGATGGATTTGGCTGGAATCAGGGGTTTTGGATCCAAACTAGATTTCTGAGTTTCATTATACTGAAGAACATCAACTTGCCAAGTAAGCATTTGAGTACTTACCCCTTCTAGTTAGGATAGAAAATCTCATTAAGAATATTTAGCCTCCTTTTGGGTTTAAGGTGTTGTAGATTAATGGCTTCGACTTTCATTGGGTTGTCCACCACATCTCCTGTGCTACTTCTTTTCCTGGTTCTGATTAATATCTATTTCTCCTTGTGCTTAAGAATTTCAAAAGAAATTCTAAAATCCTATTAAGCAACTTACTGATACTATTTGGAAGGCAGTGCAATGGGTCAAAATGCTGAGAAGAAATTTGAAGATGAGAATGATCATTTCACAGGAAACCAATGTAGAGGACTAGATCTGAAATAGGCATAGCATGTGTGACTCAGGAATAAAGAAATTTACCCGAGATAGAATTCGGTGGTTTGTTGTCGAGGGGTAGGGAACTACTGACCGTTTCGTCTAATGATCCTTGCTGTTTCTAGAACTAGAATACCAATAATTAAGTGAGACTATGGGAATTAGTTAGAGAAATCTAAAGAAATTGGTAAATTTAGCATTCGAAATATTATGTAATCGGTTACATCTTAAATTGCACGCTTCCTTTTTTGGATTCCTCAGGATCTAGGAGTCTTAGATTCAACGGGTTACATATAATATTCATTTGATCCTTAATCAAACCCATTTGTAATTGTCTTGGTATTTCTTGGTTCGGTATTCTCAAATGTGAAAAGTTCATCATTTTGGCTTTTGGTCAATTCAAGGTTTAAAAAAATAGATGGGTGACTCGGATTGACCTTTAACACCATGTTTTTGAGGTGGATCACAAGAAAAGCATCACAAAAGGCTTGGAAACTGTTATAATTTGTAGAGAGAGATGGATGCCAAGGAGAGCGAGAGAGATAGGTTGTTAAGGGAGAGAGAGAGTGGCCATTGGAGGGGGGGGGGGATTAATCCCACATTGAACCCATAACTTGTTATAAGGTGGTATAAAAGTTTCATGGCTACTTTTGATAGTGTCGCACGTGACTCACAAGTTTGGATGGCTGCTTGTGGTAAGTGTCACATGTGACTCAACAAGTTTGGGAAATTGGGCTTGCAATGGTGAGCCCACCCATAAGTTTTTTTTTTAAAATTCTTTAAATGCAATGTGGGACCAGCAATGATGGAGCCCTTTTATAATTTAAAAGCTGCAAACTTTATATTGGAAATTGTCAACTTGTGAACCAATGATGTGTACAACTTTTTCTGATAGAACCGGTTTGATCCGGCTGTTTCTAAGGGGAGTCGTCTGGATCCCGATATATTAAGGGATCCGAATTGCCATGAACAGTTCCTGATTCGGATCACCGAATTATCAAACCTTGGGTCCAATGATCGAAAATTTGGCTGCCTTGCAGCATAGGCGGCCTTGCCGATAAACTGCTTAGGCGTGACCTAGGCAGTGGGGTCGGAGCAGGCTGCCAAGGTAGGCGCATAAGCGGGCGCCCATCTAGTGCTATCCCTTCAAAAAAAAAATTCAAATCCACCAAAACAAAAATAAAACCTAGTCTTACCCTTCTCTCTTTCTCTCTCTCTCTCTCTCTCTGGTTCATGTGCTCTCTCTACATATGAGAAGAAGAAGAAGAAGATGGACTCCAAGTGTTCGATGGGTCACGTCTTTCTCTCTCTCTCTCACACACACATACACACAAAGATACACATGGACCCATATTTTCCCTCTTTATATGTAAGAAGAAGAAAAAGAAGAAAATGACCTCCAAGTTTTCAATGCGAGGTCCCTCTCTCTCTTGCACTCTCTCTCTCTCTCTCTCTCTCTCTCGACATATCTTCCAAGTGTTTGAGACCTCTCTCTCACAAATTCAGATCCCAAGAAAAAACAAAAGGAAAAAAGAGGATGATCTTTAAGAATTTCATGTGAGACCTCATGGTCACAAATACGTGCGCATGCACATATATACACTGAACACATACACACACACATTCACAAAAAACAAACACACACACAAGACAACATATGGCCCCTGCCCAACCCCCTTCCCTTAGGGCCGCCCGGATATCTGGGCGTCCGCATAGGCGGCCGCATCCGCCTTTGTGAACCTTGCTTGGGTCAATTGCTTTGAAGAATTTTCATCACTCTGTTGCACAACATTGACATAGATTGATTTTTTAAATAATGACCTTGTTTCATTGATTGTCGTACGAAATGTACAAGTCCCTGTATACGTAAATTCAATTGCAAAACCAAGAAAACTATTGCATATAATACTAGATTTACCAATTTACAAAACTTCTGTTTTGGGTTGGGCGGGGGGAGGGGGGGTGGGGGGGGGGGGGGGCGGGCGATGGGGAGAGGGGTGGGGCTGTCTTTATTCTTCTCGAATGGCGATATTTCTTTGGAGCACTTCTACTAAAACTACAATTGACAAATATACTTGCAAGGCCTAAAACTACAATTGACAAGCATACTTGCAAGTCTTAACTGTGAAACAAGAGAAGAAAGGAAGAGAAACAAGAGAAGAAAGGAAGAAAAACAAGAGTTAGATGTAGATATAAATGCATTAGGTTGTGTCTTTGTCCCTGGATGGCAATGTTTTTTTAGATTGCACCTGCTAAAATCTATTCATTGTCAATTTGTATATAACTTTGTGTTCTAGTTTGGAGCTTTTCGTAAATGTAATTGCATAAACTCTTTTTCACTGCATCATTTTATCTTCTTTGAATTAGCTTAATTTATAATTGTTTTGCTGTGAACATACATTATAATAGTTTCCTTTCCTTTTGTGATGCTTTTCTTGTGAGCCTCGGAAACATGGTGTTAAAGGTCGGTCTGCCTAGATATTCTGACTCTATTTTGTAGACATCTGAGGTTTTATCATACCCTCTGCCCCTCAATGCATTCTACAATGCTCGAAAGAAATGCTTAGCTTTACCCAGCTGTTATTTGAGTATATATCATATTATTCATCTATTGGTTGTTTGATGTGTGGTTATATATTTTTTAGCATCTTTTGACATGTGTCAACAACTCTGTAATAGTATTCTGTATACTTTGTTTCAGACTACTGTCGAAGCTGCAAAGGAAAGACTTTGGAAAAAATGTGGTACATCTGTGGACTCAATGTGCCTTGAACTCTACGATGTTAATGGAATCAAAGTTTGCGACCTGACTGACAATATGAGTCCCCTTGGAGTTTTCTCTCCACAAGATGGGTCAGTCTAAAAATTTCATATAATTTTTCTCCATACATGTTTGAAAATATGTAATGACAGTTGCTTAACTTGCGTTCATTATTTCCAAGGCCTCGCCAGCTGCCCTGAATTTCTACATATTTTACACCTTTTTTTGATTTATGTGCTGATACAATTCTTTTATAGGAATGATTTAGTTATATTTTATTTTTTTGTTTTGTTTTTGGAACTGCACTTGACACTTTACTTTCGTCAAATTTCTTGGTTCTCTGACAAATGTTCTGGATTTTTGATGTCTATGTAATAGTTATAATGTCGATCAATGTGTGTAAAGATTGGGTAAATTTTCTTCCTTTATTGTGTACCCTCTACTGATAACTGTATGGTAGGTTTTGTGTTCCTCCCTGGTCATGCCATTGCCAATATAGATAATCATCAGTTAGCCAGGGTTTAGTAAAGTTTACTGGAGATGTAGTGTGCTGCTAGACAATTCTAATCCATCAGTTAGAAATTGTAGAACAGAGAGAAAAAAAAAGATAAACAATTCACAATTAGGTAGAATCTAAGGGATTTGAATTGTAATTCAAAGACCATTGGCTGAAACTAATATAGCCTAGCTTGAATGATTTGTATGAGGGTCCAAGGATAACTCGAATTGGGAAACATGTTCCTGATTTCTGAAATTTACAGCAAAAAGATTCTTGATTTCTGAAATTTACAAAAAAGAAAAAAAAATTCATTTCAGCAAGGTAAAAAAGTCTTCTTCTTTTAACAGACTTGGCTTGGCTCCCAAGCCAAGGTTCGTTCTGAAATTGACAAAAATAAAACAGGTCATTTCAGCAAGGTAAAAGTCTTCTTCTTTTAACAGATTTGGCTTGGCTCCCAAGCCAAGGTTCTTTTAGCTCTCCAAGGAGAATTAATGGACACTACCCCTTCCCAAGCTGTGCCCGATTCCTCTTCCCAAGCTATGCATAGTTAACTTTCCTAGGAGTATTAATGTACACTACCCCTTTCCAAGCCATTCATAATACCTCTTCCTAAGAGTGTATAATACCTCTCCCCAAAAACTTTTATATTCAAATACTGACATTTCCCTCTTAATTCCCCGTGTCAAAAAAGTATATTGAAACCCTCTGGTTTTTTTGTAAATTCCATAAAAGTCCATTACAAAGAAAACTACTCAAGATATCCCTATCTTACCATAAAGACAACTAAAAAAGAAAATAAGTCCACAAAATGTGGATGAAACTTTCTTTTATTTTCTGCATCAATCTCCCCGGGTTAAAGAGAATTTGTCCTCAAGTTCAAGATAGAAATGCACGAACTCTTGGCATTGTGTTTGTTCTTCCACCATACGAAATATTGACTCTAATTTCCGCAGGGGGTAGAGATGATCGGTTGTCCAATATCTTCTCTACCTTGTCTCTCACTTGGGCAGATGTGCATCCCACCTAGCATCACCTTCACAGTAACCTCCCCATGACACTCATATAGGTCGGATATGTTGAAAATAGGAGAGATTTCATATTTTTTGGGAATTTCAATCTTGTAGGCGTTCTGCCCCGTTTTTTGAAGTATGCGACAGTGACTAATCTTCTTGTATCTAAGCTTATGGTAAGTGCTTCTCAGGATGCGCTCATACATAAGGTACACCATTACCAAGTCTCCTACTTCAAAGGACTTTTCCCATTAGTGTAAGTTGGCGTCGGCTTGGTATTTGTCATAGCACTTTTCTAATTTTTCCGAACTTGATGATGGTTTTGAATGTGCTCATCCAAGGCTTCTGCATGATTGTTAACTCACCCCATAAGGCAAAGGTACTAGGTCGTGGCTAATCATACATCACCTCATATGGAGCCTTTCCAGTGGACCTTGCTTGGTGGCTGACAAGGGTTGTTATATTATCCCTCCCAAAGTGACTGCTAAGGTGGTCACCATGTATCTCATCAATGACTTGGATGAGAAGTAACCCCTTGGGGATGCAAAGATGGCTACCTTTGAAAAGAAAACCATCTATTGAGGTGGCAAATGTACCAAGGAGGTAACACCTCCTGTTGAGGGCATCAACCTCCTTGTTTGGCTGCTCGATATATGGCGGATTACAAAAGTGAACTCTTGTAAGTAAGTGATCCACTTTGCATGCCTCTTATTCAGTTTCTTTTGAGCGCTTAGATACTTCAAAGCTTCATTTCTGAATGAGGTGGTGCCTCCATGTCTTAAGGCTTGCACTATCGCATAGAACTCCACATCATAAGTAGAGTATTTAATCTTTGCCCCACTCAATTTATCGCTAAAGAAGGCCACAGGTCTTACCTCTTGACTTAAGTCACTTCCAATTCCCATCTTCAAGGTGTCACACACTCCACTTGGAAGATCTTTTCAAAGTCTGGAAGCTTGAGGACAAGAAGACTCATAACTCTTTCTTTTACCATTTTGAAGCTATTTTCATTAGCCAAAGTCCACAAACACCCTTTTTTCATACAATCAGTTATGAGTGCTATGGTGATGCTGAAATTTCAAATAAACCTCATATAAAATGTTGCTAAATCATGAAAACTTCTCCCTAGAGTCACTATTTTGGGTGTCGACCAGTCTCAATAGCATGTACCTTTGTAGGATCCTCCTTGACCCCTTTGCATGTTACCACAAAACCTAAAAATACTAGGTAATTAGTCAAAAAGGATCATTTTGGGGTTTACAAATAAATTTTCTTTTCGAAGGGCCTCCGACGCCTGCTCTAAATGTAACAAATGTTCATTGGTGCTTGGACTGTAAATGAGGATAATACACTACTAAAACTTGCCAATGAACAGGAGCACTTGGTTTGTAACCCTCATGAATGTGCTCGGAGCATTAGAGAGCCCAAAGGGCATGATCAGCGATTCATGTAACCTCTTGCATCTTAAATGCAACCTTCTTTTCATAGCTGGGCCGTACACGAATGTCGTGATACTCTCTTTTCAAGTCAATTTTGGAAAAGACCCTCGATCCTGAGAACACAAGCATGTCATCAAGTCTAGAGATAGGGAAACGGTATTTGACTACGATTTTATTAATTGCTCTGTTGTCCACAGATTCTCCATGAGCCATCTTTCTTTGGGTTAACGACGCGGGGACACCACATGGGCATAGGCTCTCTCGTATCAACCATTTCCCCAACAACTCCTTTACTTGCCTATGTAACTCCTCGTGTTCATTGGGACTTGTTCGATAATGTGGGATGTTAGAGAGAGAGGAACCAAATCAATGCAATGTTGAATGATTCTCATGGGTGGCAACTCATTGGGTAATTAATCTGGCATCACGTCCTTAAGCATTTCACCTAGGCGCTTAACTATTATGCAGATGTCATCCAGGAAAGACCCTTCTTTGGCTACCAAATCATATGCTACCCCTCGGTCTTTGCTTTCTTAATAAAGTATGGACAACTTATACCCTACTGTTGGGTTCAATTTCGTTCTCCCTTGGTGTATGGCAGCTCGATCATATTGTTATGGATGACTTAAAAGGATATGGCATCCGTCCATGGGTAGGACGTCACACCAAAACGAATCCTTAAAAGCTTTACCAACAGAAAAATAATTAAGCAATAGAAGTTACCGGAGTCTCATTACCTTTCCGAAACCATTCTATTTTGTAGGGTTGGGGGTTTCTATCACATGTCAACTTCGACTTGTCTACAACCTCTTGAGACATATTACCGCACCTGCTGCTATTAATGATAAAGGTGCACACCTTCTCAAGGACTGTACAACGAGTCCGAAAGATGTGAGTTTCTTGCCACAGCTCTTCTAACACCTTTGGGGCAGTGAGTAGGTGTTTGATGACAAGAAATTCCCCATCATCAGCCTCAAGTTTAGCAAGACCTTGCACATTTTCCTCTACGGGCTCCTCATCGAATACTGGCCCCATGCCAAGGTCTCCTTCATTTGTGTCATCCCCATTTAGGATATATGTGCCAGCTTGCCATTTCTAGTATTCATTCTACCGGTGGCCAATCTCGCCACATTTATAACATTTCACGCCCTGTTTTCGGGTTTGGAGGAGCCTATTGGCATTTGGTGCTTTGCATTTTGGTGTGAGCTGGACCCGATATCTCATGGCTTTTGATCTACCATATGTCCCCTTTCAACTGGGGTTGATTTCCAGCAACTAGAGCGGCTATTTTTAAATTGGTTGAAGCTTTCGGGTCTTGTCAAAACTGAAATTTAGTGTGGAAATAGTTTGTTTTGAAATTGAGGTTTCAGGCCACTTCCATAACTTGCGACGAGCTGGTCATTGCTTTCATTGACTTTGTTCTGGCTCATATGGCAGAAAAATTGATCTGTATACTCTTGGACACCCTCCTTTTTCAACATATGGTGGAATCCTGGTACAATTTTGCCCATAACCAGTGCATACAGATTTCTCCTTAAGATGTGACTTTACTTTCTTTTATGTCGCTCTCTTTTCCTTCCCCTTTTGCAATTCATTAGCATGCACCTGCTGCCACCATATTTGGGCAAGCCTCTTGAGTCAAGTAGCCACAAATTTGACTTTCCTTTCTTCTGGGAAATCTTTCCACTCGAAGAAAGCCTCCACATTATCTAGCCAATCCGAGATTTCATAGGGCTGAAATTTTCCCTAAACTTTAGGAATGTCCACTTTCAAACCTTGATCCGACCCGCCTAGGACGCAGAGTAACCTATCCTCCAACGAGGAGTTCTTGCTTCTTCGGTTGTGGAAAGGATTACTCTTTCTTCGTACGATTCCTCACTTTCATGAGTAACTGATCTCCTTCAAAGTGGGCGAGACGACCCACAAATTGTTCCATTTCACTGAACCGACTCAGCAATTCCTCATATTCTGACTTGGCATGGTACCTCCTTCTCGGCGTCCACATGCTCCTCTATTGGCCATAACTCAAGTCCAAAAGAGAGGATTTTTGCTCAGATACCACTTTATGTAGAACATAGAGAAAAGAAAGAGAAATAGTTCATTGTTGATGTAGAAAACAAATTTTTGTTAAACATTTTGTTGAGGATTTTGTTTTTGGCTTTTTTTGTGGTAAAGTAGGGGTTTTTTGGATAAGTTCCTTTGTAATAAGATTTTATGGAATTTACAGAAAAGCGAGGGGGTTTCTATTTACTGTTTGGATGTGGGGAAAATTAGGAGGAAAATATTAGAATTTGAATTCAAAATTTACTTGGGAAGGGTATTATAGATGGCTTGGGAAGAGGTATTGTGCATTGCTTCGACAGGGGTAGTGTCCATTAGTGCTCCTAGGAAAGTTGTGCATGTCGTTGAAAGGTATCGTGCATGGCTAGGGAAAGGGTAGCATCCATGAATGCTCCTAGGAAAGTTTAGAGAACTTTTGGCTTGGGACCCAACCAAGCCAAGTCTATAAAAAGAGGAAGACTTTTACCTTAAATGATTTTTTTTTTTGCTGGAAATTTCAGAAATCAGGAAAATTGTTCCCATTTTGGGTGGTCCTTGGACCCTCATAGAAGTCATTGAAGCTAGGCTTTGTTAGCTTCAGCCCATTGTCTTTGAATCACAATTGCAATCCCTTGGTTTCTACCCAATAACGAATTATCTTTCTTTTCTTTGTGTTCTACATCCGAAATTTAGGATATGTAAGACTAGCTAGATGTAGTGCTGATGTTTTACCTCACTGGGCACACTACGTTGTTGGCCATTACATAATAGGTGACAAAAAGTCAAGCAGGTGCAGGGTTGCTTAGATGGACTGAAATGGCTTGTAGGAAGAATATATATGAGTAGACCAATTAGTTTTGATCAATGTATATATCAAGGACATGCATTTGTACATTGCCAGAGTCTAAAGGCATTGATGCAGTAAAATGGCACAAGCACTGTTACATGGTCCGTTGATGATTCTGTTATTGTTAGATTACTCAAGCTGCCTGGGTTCGGTTCGTTGTGGAAGGT